TTATGATCCTATAGATTCGGGGAGCTTTTGGTGTCCCAGGAATATCTGATGAAGGTTGATTATCATCAATATGTAATCCAGAAAATGTATTTGGAAGAAGGGATCACATGGATATTCATATGTAAAGAGATATCCCAACCAAGAGGGAATTGTTGTGGAAGTACCTTTCAATGCCCAAACAAGAGAATATGTCATCCAGTTATGAGAAACCAAAAAAAAAAGAAAGAAAGAAATGTGTGATTCAATAATTCTTACCTAACCTTCCCTACAGAGACAATGGACAGATGCTGTCAAGCACATAAGGCTAAAACCGGCCCAGCAGAAGTAATCTAAAATTGTTTTTCACTTTAAAAAAAAAGTATTAGTTTAAGATATCTTGAACATTTCACATAGTGGAAACTCTATTAGAATATGCATTTTTACCTATAATTTTGTAAAAATATATGGGACAATGAAAAACATGATATTTATTTAGTAATAGTTAATCAGGACTCTGTATAAAGTAGCTAATTAGTGCCAGGTGCAAGAAACTTCAAGAACTTGAAGGAAAGAAAAGATTACCCCAGGTTATGAGGTACAGTTTATCCAACAAAGAAAGAATGCAAGGAATAAAATTCTGGGTGCCCTTCCAAAACACACTCAGGACACCTTTTACAAACAATACATCTCAGCATGCTACATAATAACCACTTTTTTTTTTTTTTTACTTGAAAGTAACTGTAATTATTCCACTTCTAATTTAAATTACATTTAGCACATTATAGTTTCCAAATTTCAAGGTAGGGTGGGATATGAAGGTGTCAAAATTATCTGTCACCTTGTTCCTTAGTAATAACTGATTTATAATTTGTCTTGAATTATTATTTTATTCACTCATTTTTATTGTTGTGGTATTTCTTGGTGGCCTCAGGAATAAAATACGTTAGAACATGCTATTCCAAAACTGCCTCAACTCATAAAATAGATCTTTCTAAAATGAGAATGTGTTTACTTTTGTGCTTAAGCAGTTAAAACATTGAAAAACTATGTCCCTATAGATGTCTGTTTTGACTAGTGGCAGATTCTATAAAATCATAATCAAAAAATGTGGAATTTTGCCAAGAACATGATGTTTTCAATATTTATGAATTCTTCTGTGACCAATTATATTCTACTATCAAAAAGAACATACTTTTATGTCACTGAATTGGGAAAAAAAGTTTTTTTCATAAAGTTGTGTACTGTCAGTTTGTTTGTGATATTTCAAACACGTTTCACCTGATATGCTCAGCTTTTGGTCTCTCTACTTGAGGCAATCAGCAGATAGCATATGGTGTACAAGATATAAAATGAGGCAGGGCTCAGCGTCACAAGTAAGGCAGCTGGTCGATTTGACAGTTCTTTTCCAAATTACTCATCATGTTTTGAGTTGCTGCTAGGAAAAAATGTGTTGCCCATCTCCAAAATAGATGTTCTTTTTTATTTTTAAGCTTGGGAAAGGCTTCCAATAGGAAAATAAGACAGATGGGTATAGGAAGCAAGATATTTATCCTTATTTAGACCATGTTTTTTTCTTGTCAGTTCCTTCATTGGAAGAGTTTTCCACATAAACAAAAGAACATTTCAACATTCTTAGTTAACTATGCCCTACAATGCATTTGTGCTTTTCTTATAAGGAATGTCTTTGAAATAGTAAAAATGGCTTTTTAATTGTCAAAGTGGCATTGGTCTAGATTTTTTGGAAACCAATAAATACAGAGGTTGAATTAAAGGGCTCTTTAGGAAATGTTGGTAACATTACAGATGAATAATGCAATCTGGAAAATATTGGTTTCCATTGGCAAGTGTATAATGGACTGATTTCAGCAATTTTTTTCCACATTGGGGATTCTCTTAATCAAGTTTTATAGAATCTCCAAAGTAGAGTCTGGAAGGTGTTTGTGGATTGCACTAAGTTGCAAATTCTTTAACTCATAAGAGTCATCCATTTGAACAAACTCCCAGTTGGGGTTTTTAAAAGATTTCTAAGTGGTACTTTCCATAGACCATCAGGAAGTTTCATCTGGTGTAATGCCATGATGATTTTCCGAATTTGTAAGAATTCCAGAATCTGCAATGATTTCTAATTTTCTTTGGAAAGTTTTGCCCTCTCTACATTTTCTCTAAGCTTTATGTGCTGGGTACAAATTTTTTCACCAAACATATTGGAATTAAAAACTAGCTTCTGTTCGCAGTCTATGGTGTATACAGAATATTCTTACTATCACCTGAAAGTTTAAAAACTTTCTTCTGAGTCCACTAACAATAAAAGTTCAAATACCTATAGTTCCTAAACTTAAATTGATGTAAGAATTTGATAGAAAAAACAGACTAATTTCCCAATTATCAGTCTCTTTTTTAGTAATTCAATAAAAATGTATCTAAAATTCAGTTTCCAAAATTAATAGTAGTTGTCAAGTATAAAGTATAGTTCTTCATATTTTTGAACATTGTTATAAGTCATTCGAGATAGATTTATGAAATGACAGACTTTCCCGAGTAAAATGCAATGTGTCAAGAAGCTATTCTTTATTTCCAGTCCAATGGGAATTTAAGAATCATTTCAAACAAGAATAAAAAATGGAAATAACTTTTAAAAGGACTTGTAGGTGACAGATAAATCCCTATACTCTGTGTACATCACATTGTTTTCATCAATGTACTTTTTTCTTTGCTTAAATGTTTAAAATACATAAAAAATCATTAAAATATTGTTTTATGTTCTGGAAATGTTTGATATAAATTAACTGGTAACAATATAGCAGACTCAGGATTTGCTGTATAAAAATCTATAATTTATATGTGATATTTTTCTATTCGTTTGAGGTCATGATCTCATAATTAAAATTGATGCCTAAGCCTAATCAAATTGAATTTTGAGGTACTTATTGCCAACCTTTCAATTGACAAATTTTCACATCGAATCATGTATCTTTATATATTTATTATAAAATCCATAAGTTTAATATTTTAAAATAATTTCTAATTAAAGTTGTAAATTTATATTGCTTAGTTATCAAGAATTCCAAAAAAGTTCAAATTGCTTTAATCCGTGTCAATTAATGTTATATTTACATTTACTCTCATTCATTCCTTAAATTTGTTATATATAAACGATTCTGCTTTTGCTTTTGTTTTGTTGGTCTGTTTTGAGACTTGATCTCACTAATCTTGTCCAAGCTGGCCTTGAATTTATAATCCTCCTGCCTCAAGTCTCCCCAAATAGCTGCTATTTTAGACATGTACCACCCCACCTGACTTGTATAAATCTCTGCACTTATATTTTATTATATAACAAGAATAAATAATGAAATACTTTCTTGGACACATAAATAAGTCTGTCCCTGGACCAGAAAACGTTTTCACAGATGCTGAGACAAGGAAATCGGAGAGAGTGGTCATGGAGCCTGCTGTCAGCTTGTTCTCTGTCTTTCTCTGTTATCTCAATTTTCCCTTTCTCTTCCATATTTTAGATACTATTCCATTGACAACCAAGTTATCATTCATAGGATTTCTTTAAAATACAAGAAAATGAAGATTAAATATTATAACAATATAGTCCACAATTTTCAAATAACATGAATGTTCCTAGAAAAAAAATAGCCTGGTACTTTATTTTTCAAATAACTTTAAGTCATAACCATATTTCAATATATCAAAATGCAAAATAATGTCTCAGAAACAAGGGATACATTAGCCAGTATTGGCATATAGAACACTTTTCAAATACATAAACAATTATAAGCTCAATCCAGTCTTGTAGCAACTTTGATAAGCCAATATTATTTTGTCCGTTTTGTAGAAGAGATGATGAAAGTTTCAGTTATTCAAGAGCTAACATAAGAAAGTACTGATCAGAAATGGCATATCAGAAATTCAGATTGGGACACCAAAGTTCTATTTATGGTATTTGCTATTAATGAAACAACATACTATGTGATAATAAAGTCTGTGACTATTTCAAAGAAAGGTAGGGGGAGGGTTATGAATTTGGATCAATATATATCAATGTCAGCAATGTAAAGTTATTATATTAAGGAAAGTTTTAAAGCTAGCTGGAAAAATTTAAAAATTCCTAAAATCGAAAAAATTTTGTTATTTCTTAGTATATTAATGAAGCAATATGTAGAATTGATCCATTCATTCATTCAGCCATGTACGCATCCATCTGTTAATTTACTTATCACACAATAACCAATATTTCGTTTATTTAAATGTATTTTTTGGGTTAAACTAAACTTCAATTGTGACACAAAAAGATTAGTAAATCAATGAATTTGAAAATATTTTATCAACCACATGCTTATGAATAATTACTACCTAAATTTCTTCAAGCGTAAGCTCTTACTTCAATTTTGCAAAGCCAAATGAAGAATGAGATATGTTAAAAACACAAACATTAACTTTTCATGCCAAAAACCACTGCTCTCTTTTCCCTTATACACTAAGGGTCACAATCTATTAACAATAAGTTAAAGCGTTCTACTTAATTTTATTTATATAGGCATGCAGATAACAGGTGTGTAGCAGGTAAAAATACTCCTAAAGAACTGGGAGTCTGTGTAGGTTAAAATAAAATAAGTGAAGAAAGTAATAGAATTGCTTAATTGATCTTATAAGATCTTATAATCTTTTGTCTTAACCAATACCAAGCATAAATAGTAATTGATTCTTTTATACACACAAGGAAAGGAAAGAATTCTATTTTTCTCCTTAAGAAAAGTTAGCATTTTATACCATAAATCATTCATTTATACATTTATATGAAAACTGACACCTACACAATGCTTTGCAGCAAAAGTCGTTACAAAAAAATGGTTTTTCAAAGTGACAAAAAAGTCAGAAGAATTTCTATAGTAGACAGTCCCTCCAGTAATATTTGAACATGGGTGAATAATTATATTTCTGTCAAATTCTACTATGCATGAATTATGAAGCATTGTAAAAAGCCATGCTAAATGGATAAAAGGATGGCTACTTACCAACAGGGCGAGCTGTAGACATTACAATGGTGTGGTGAGAACATAAAAAAGAAATTTTTAAAAAAAGAAAGAAAAAAAAATTATCAGAATGCATGATCATGATGTGTAATGTTACAGTTAAGTATGGACAATAGAGTGATTTCTAATCTCATAATTTATGAACAAGGATGTCTGAGTTTGAAAAAAACTGAAAGTTTATAAATATGATCCCAAGAAACATATCATTTTGGCTCTCAGGACTAATGATCAGCAACTTTTATTATTTCAGGTAGTTTCATCACCATTACTTACTACAGTTATTAGGTCAAAGACCTTGAGTTCAACAGCCAAGTGCTATCCCAAAGTTAAGAACCTGCTGAATATAACCATTCAAGTCACAGACTAGCAAATGTCATGTCAATAAAAGAAGGCCTCACTGTCTGATTTAAATAGCAATTGGATTTTAAGCATGGTTAGTCAGAACCATTACAAGGACTACAGAAAAGCCCCTGACGCTGCTTTTCAGTCAGTAATAAGTTAAGATCACATCACTTTTCATCCGTGGACAGGGTGGATGAAAATATAACAAATAGGTTGGAACATCCTTAGAGATTTCAACTCAGTAGCTCCCTAACTGCTGTTAAGCTTTTTTCTTCTTTTGGCAGAGGCCAAGAAACAATGACTGACAAGTTGATTCTTGTTCACACTGTGAATGGCTTTCAAACTGATGCACCAACAAATTATTATTTTTTTATTATATCATAACTTTCAATCACTAAAATCAGTAGTAATAGGCTTCCCTTGTTAATGCATAAAAATTGTAAGAGAGATACATGGGCTTAATAACATTTTCTTTAAACAGAATAATGTCAAATCTGTTAAGATAGTAAACCATTTTATATAAAATAGAGGTGAATATTTTAAAACATGCCGTCCCATTATCCAGAGAAGAAGAAATATATTTAGCGGCATTTGAACTTTATGAAATCTTACATTGAAAAATATAAGCTTTTTCAACAAAAAATCCTTTCACTTATATCCAAATGGATATAGCCCTCCTGCATAATAACATGTCTCTAGAACAATGTAAGTATTTTGCTGCTAATCACTTTTGGCAAGGTAAGATAGATGCAGCATTAAAAGCATATTTGTTTATTCAAAACAGATCCATCATAATACTTAGCCTTGAGTAATTTCTAAAATAAAGTATAATACTTATGTGCATTATAACACATATACTACATATGTATAGTTGCCTCTATAGTTGTCTTTTATAGAAATGGTATTCATGAGAAGCAACAGAAAGAAAAATAAGCTGAAAGTAGTAATAGTGTTAACATTCTGGCTTAGAAAAACTCTTAGGTCCCATAGCATAAGGTCAGTTTGCTTCATGAAAAGAAAAACTGAAGTTACCCTGAAATATTTTTCCTTTTTCTTTTTTTTTTTTTTTGTAAGGGGGTATGGAGCAGAACACAAAAATATCCAGAATAAGACAACAGACTAATATCATAAAATCATGCTTCATTCTAACTGGTGATATTTCTCCTAATTTTGTCAATGTCTAGTAGAAAAGGAACCTTTTCCTTTCATCTTTCAATTTACTATTTTAGTTGCCACCTCAAGCTGGATTTCAGATATGTTTCTTTAAGGAATGAAAAGGTATTTTTTTTGAAGACCTTCTTTTTAAAAAAAATTTAGTTGCAGATGGACACAATACCTTTGTTTTATTTAGTTATGTAGGGCAGAGGATCAAATTCAGTCCCCCACATATGCGAGACAAGCACTCTACCACTGACCCACAACCCTAGCCCTGAAAAGGTATTTTGAATCTATAATATTAAAGAGAGAAAAAGAAGAAACCATGATGAAAAAATCATGCTCAAATAAATAAAACACATCTCTTTTTCACTGCAGTCTAGAATAATTCCAAAAAACTTAAGGCTTCATTGCCTTAGAGGAAATGTAATTTTTACAACGAGATCTTTATTTATGCAAAGCCAATGAAGCAACTGAAAAATAGAGGGAAATTATGTTTCCAAATATGCAGTTTGTATGAAGTCATTTTTAAGCTATTTTAAAAAATGCTACTAGATAATGAGATATTTGATTAGACTATATATGCTAGGCGATATGTTGTTGACTAACTTTGTTTCTTACTAATTTAACATTTGCCAAGTCAGCAAAGGGAGTTATTTTGTTGGTAATCTCCATTTTACTCCACTTTATTTTTGTCATGTTTTTGAAATGAAAAACAACTGAAGAGATCTGTTTCAGATATTGATTGTAAAACTGCCTTAAATATTCACCAGTTGGCTAAAATGAACATAATGATACAATTTTAGTAGAAACATGATAATAAAACTTCTTTATTGCATAGGAAATTATTCATGTGAAAAAAAATCAGCAGGTGGATGTTTTCAAAATCAGCAAATTAAACTAAACTGTGTCCCTGCATTAAATGGACATGGCCTCTTGGGTCAGTTGACCCTGTTCTAATAAAACAATCCAGAGAAAGGTTGAAATCTCATTTATGTGCATAGAAAAAGCACAGGAAAAAAAATGTTGTAAACAATTTTTTCCTTATTAACCTCTTAGCTTGAGAAATCCCAACTGCTTTTCCTAATGGTAAAAATGTTGTTAAATAATATTTTACTCTACATTACATTGTATTATGGAGAAGTTTTTTTTCCTTTAACCTGATTTTGAGGTTTCAGTTTTAGATGAGTAACAAATTCATAAAAAACACACACACAAAAAAAAGCATTCTAATTCATCTACAAGCTCCAGATTAGAGGAGAAACTATTTAAGGGTTTCTGATTTAAAAAAAAAAAAAAAAATCATTGTAGAACTAAACAATGCTTTCTACTTGTAAGTTAGCTTCAGACATCCATGCATGTGGAGCATGCTTTGTTAAATAAAATGTTAAACCTGAAACTTCAACAAATTATAAAAACAATTAGGTGGGAAAGACCTTTAAGCAAACAGAACACTTCATGTCTCATTCATCCAAACATTGAACTATAAAAGGAACCCTGCTGCTTTTACAAACAAACAGCTCCTTACATTTTCACACCACTTGTTTAGTCAGCAAATATTTTTTGAATAGAAATTTCTAGTGGGTTGTTTATTTTTTTCCCCACTCACTTCAGAAACACACACACACAAACACAAACTTTGGAGATAATTTGTTTTTGCGAAGATAAATTTTGTTTTTGCGAACAGCTTCCTATTTAAAAACAATCATATATAAAATCATCTACAGAATGAGTAGGTTAAATAAAGAGTTTTCATTTTTTTGCATGATTTATTAGATTTTGATCAGATATAATGAGTATATAATTTGGTTCATATATGATCACAGTCCTTTATGATCTGTTACCTGTAAGAAGTGAAAATATTTTTAAATAGCTTTATTGATTTTGTCTAAATGTGTTTTTCATCTAAGAACACACTAGATTGTGTGGAGGAGAAAGCACTGGATCAGGTGAAAAAGGAATGGAGCAATTGAGAAGTGCAAAAGCACTGTATTTTCAAGGTATGCAGAATGCCTGACTCCCAGGAGTTACCTGGAGTCAAATGAGTTTTGTGTGATTTGAAGCTTACATTGCAGGTCTGGCAAAAATCTTTTTTCTTACCAGATGGAGGAGCAACCTCAGTATCTCTGATGCATTTGTTATACCTCCAAACTCCTCCAAACCCTTCTGCTCATCTTACAAAAATTTCTGAGGGCAAAGCTGCATATGGGTGGAAGTACAACTAAATAGGGTGAGAGATATCTGACAGGTGTGAATGAACACTTGCAGCCAACAGGAAAAAATAAGAGTAGGAGGAAGGAAGGATGAGAGGAGGAGGCACAATTAGTGTGAAAGAAAGGTTTGAGAATGTACAGGAGATGAGCATTTCCGTGTTTGTTTAGATCCCAGTGAGAGTGAATAGTATGGTGGTAATGTCTGTTTGGAGAGGCTAAGTGTTCACTGTCAAGACTTCACTTAGTACCTGGGATATATTTTACCTCTTGGGATCAACTTGCTCCACCAGGAAGCCAGTTGATTCATTATAGTTTGCTGTGGGCTTAGTAATGCTTTCCTTCAAGTGTAAGCAATTCCAATAAATCTATAAATGAACATTATTTCATGATTAAGAAAGTGTGCAAATGAACATTATTCCATGATTAAGAAAGTGTGCAATGCTTAGAAAATGAAAAAAAGCAACTACTGCAATTACTTAAGCCAATGAATTTCACATATCACTCTCTAAATCAGATTATCAGGAAGCTGGAGCTTTTCCATTACCCTTTGTTCACCTTTGGAAGTATGATTAGTTTTTTATTCAGATTGCTTTTTTGAAAGCTAAAATAAAAAAAGAATTTCTAAACAATATTCTACTAGTATAAAGCGACAAACTGGTGAACAGAAAACAGGAGTACTTTTGAAACAGATGCCATTTAAAAGCATAAGTAGTTGAGAGCAAATGACTGATTTACATCCTTTCTAAGATTAACTTTTAGGCCATAAACTGTCAACTTTCATCCATGTTCTATTTTATTAAATAAAAATGAATGCCTTTAGATGATCACTATTTGCACCCAAATTTAGAAATAATTTTATTTCAATTAATGATAGAGAGGGCATGCAATGTAGACATCTATTGTAATAATAAAAGTAGAATTTATCATTTTGCTTGTGAGTTCACTTACCAAAAACAAAATATTAGTCTCCCGATTCAGTTATATCTGACACCTTAAGTCTCTTACCTCGGACAGTGAGGGTAGCGGAGGCTTCCACTTTTCCCACCCGATTCTCAGCAATACACATATAGGTACCTTCATCTGTACTCAAGGCCTTCTTAATTCTCAGAGTGTAATCATCTTTGATGTCATACCTGCGTGAAATAGGAGCTGGCCTTATTAAATAGCACTGGTTATATAGAAAACAATATTAAGTATTCATCTTCATTTTTTTCTTTTTATGCTATATTGTACCTAAAGCCAAACACACACACACACATTATTTAGTCATAAAAGTACAATTATTCACATTATGGTATTACTAAAAAGATCATTAATTTCACACCTGATCTCTAGCTGCTTATCAGTCATTTATGTTTTAATGTTTATAACTTATATACATATATGTATAATACATATGTATATACAACATTTATACTTGTGTATAACTCTTGCTACTTTAAAACTCTCAAAGGCATCTTTCTTTGGCAATTCCTCATTAGAAAGGAAAATTGTACACATTTCAGTTTCTTGTCATTTATATTTTACTATTTTGTAAGTAACATTCTAAGGACTTGTGACATAGTAAATAAATGTATTAAATTAATGTATTCAATTATCTAATCTCTTTTTTAGGTAGTGCATGACACTGGCTTGTTGGTAATTTGAAAAAAAAGTATATTATTTTTAAAAATGAAGAGGAGTCATATTTTTTTAAAATTAACCACAGGAACTGTTAAAATATTAAGACTTGAAATGATTTTTAGAAATGTATATCTTCAGCTCTATCATATGCATTCATTGTCTGACTTCCATTTTTAAAATCTGTACACTAACAGATTGGTTCAAAAATTTTAAAATTTTAACATGAATTTGGGTGAGGCTAGTTGCATAAAACATAGACTTTTCAGATTCTAAAAAAATTAAATTGCATAAACAATGTAACAAAGTCATTCGCTTTCTACTCTTTTCATATCTTATCTTTCCTCATAATTTTCACTATTTTTTTCAACTCATAATTTTGCACTAGCTTCTGCTAAGTCACATTGTCTGTCTTTCTCATACATTCCACAATTGGATTCATGTTTCCAAAATATTATTTTAATTGATTCTGTCTGCTAGAAACTAGCTGTGACATTTTATTGTTTTTAGGAAAAAAGCAAAATATTTTAGGCTAGCATTTAAAACTACCATAATTGGATATATTGAACTTCTACCTTTAGCTAAGAGAACAACAGCTTAACTTTATTAGAGGTTAAAATAAACACTAATAATAGCTCTATTTTATTGACTTTGGCATGACAAAATGCAACATCTATGTACCATTTATGCCAAATAAACCTAACTACTCATGCTGCTCTATTCTTTAATTATGGTGTTTAGTCTTCTCTGCATATTTTGCCTTACAGTTTTGTTTATTTACTATGTCACAAGTCGTTAGAAAAGACTCATGCGCTGGTCTTATTTAAAGTGTTCTATAGGAATACCAGGAAATTACAATCAGTCATTCTTTGAAACTCATTGATACATGAATGATTCTGATTGTACACTGTTATTGTTGTCCATTATGATCAAGGCAGAGACCTTGTCTGTTCCACTCAGTATGATGTCCATACTCCCAAACATTGCATTTATATTTAACATCCAGTAGCATGACCAAGGGATTAAGACCACAGACTAAGTAGCAAAATGCCAGATTTTAATCATGGACTTGGCCTTTTTCTATGGATGTCAGAGTGGACAAAATACTTAAATCTCTGGGTCACAATATCCTCATTAACTAAATTGCACTAATATCTGTCTCAATGAGTAAGGGCTTTAAATGGTGTATGAAATATAAAGTACTTCAAACTGGAACAGTGAATACACACTTTATGTCAGGTGGTTAGTATACCTATCCAGAGATCAAGAAATACCAATTGAAAACATAGTAAAGACCTTCCTTGCTTCCTGCTAATTTAAAGTCCAACTAACTATGAATGACTTCAAGGCTGGTAATTTGCCATACTTTCCTATTAGGGCTTTTGTATGTTCTATGTTTGTAGTTCAGGACAAATACTAACTTCAGATACATAAAAGAGGTATAATACAGAGAAACCTTTTCTGATTAATTTTGTCAATAAAAATATAACAACAATGATTTTGATGATGGCTTCAGAAAATTTGTTGGTGATAAAATATCCAGGAAAAACAATCCTCCTACAATTATCCAATGTTCTGCATGACATGTTCCAATATTTAAACAATGAATAAAAACAATGTACTTTGCAGGCATTTCCAATTCACATAAAAACAAAAACACCTACATTCCTGACTATAGTTTTGCTATTGGTTGTTAGTGTGTTTTTCAGGAAGTCTCTTTGCTGTTCTATAGCTGAGTTTTCTCAAAAAGTTTTAAAAGAGAGGGGGTCAATGTGATGATCTGTAAGGTCTTTTCTAGATCAAAAGGCATGTGGAACCACAATTCTAAGTTAATACAAGATACTTGCACATTATTTTCTTGAGAAAAACAATTGTATTATTGCCTCACAGTAGAAAAAGATACAATTGTACACATTGTTCAGAGTACTCTCAAAGCAATCTTCTGAACCTGGAATCCTCATTTCATAGATGAGGAAATTGATAGTTCAGTCAAATGACTTGTCCAATGTCCTTTAGTTGCTAGAGAGAAAAGCCAGAATTCCAACCCTGACTCTGAGCTTCTATTATTCCCATTCCATGTGTGCCTGTTCCCTGTGGATTTTTAATTTTTTATTTCTTTTAACTTCTCTAGAAAAGCATAAAAAAATTACTATGTTACCATGTGAGGTTTTGATACATGTATACATTTAAAGCAGGTTAAATACATTTAGCTCTCTGAAGTATGCACTACATAAATATTTCTTAAAGTCATCATTTAATTTATAAATGCAGACAGAAGACATGTTAAGACATGACTAAAAGTATAATATGACATTCAAAAATATTTAGTTATAGTTTTTGACAAAATTTTATTTCATATGAGAGAAATTCACTACACAGGTGCAGCATGAAAGATAAATACAGGGTGGAATCTCTTGGCTTACTAAGAAAAAGGCTACCTTCAAAATATAGAAAATACATTGAAACCTAAAATAACTCTGTAATCTGACTTTCTGAGATACCACCCCCCCCCCCTTTTTTTTTCTGGTACCAGAGATTGAATCCAGGGACTCTTAACCACTGAGTCACATTCCAAACTCCCCCCACCACCATTTTTTATTTTGAAACAGAATCTTGCCAAGTTGCTTACGGCCTTGCTAAATTGCAGAAAGTGCTCCTCAAATTTGCAATCCCCCTGCCTTAGGTTTCTGAGTTGCTGGGATTGCACTTGTGTTCTACCATGCCAGGATGAGATTTTTAAAATTGTTTTAAGGAGGATGAAAACAAGATTAAGAATACAAACACTGAATTTGCTATTTTAAAGTTAGTTTTTATTTCTTTATGAAATGTATTATGATCAGAGACACAAGTTACTGTGTATTCTCTGCTACAATAACAATTCCCCTTGAGAAATATTAAAAATAAAATATTGCTTGGGATGAATACAACATATTAATCTTAGCTAATAAAAAATCTATATTTCAAAGATATTGTGTTTTTACAGGCAAATATTCTAATATTGTAGAAAAGGTTTTCAGACACAGATTGTAAAGAAGGAGGAGGAGGATCTGGTAGTATGAAGATATTTGTTATAAAATTTTACAGATGTAGAGAACATATGCACCCACGTATGGAAACTATTCCTGAAAGACAGGAAGATTTTGGAGTTGAAAGAAGTTTGGGAGTAATTTGTTTATGGTACTACATTGAACCAGTGGTACTTTACCACTGAACTGTATCCCCAGACCTTTTTATTTCTGTTTCTTTCTTTCTTTTTTTTTTTGAGACAGGATCTCACTAAGTTGCCCAGGCTCGCCTCAGTCTTCTGAGTCACTGAGATTCTGAGATTCTAGGCATGTGCCATTATGCCTGGCTTGTGTTATGATTTTAAATGATCTTCCACATCATAATGCCTGGTGTAGTTCACAGGAATTAATAGATGCTCATTCACAATTATCTCATTTTAATTTCCCCATGATGATCATAAGAATTTGAGAAGGTTATAATGAAGACTTAAATATTTTACTTAAGCAATAAACAAATCACATAGCCTACACTCCAGATATTGCATCAGAAGTAGGAGTACCTGCCTTCATAGACTGTAGAGCCTAGTGAAAAGATCTTCAGTCAGAAGGATGGTGTCTGCCTTCACAGGTCTAGGCCAGATGATAATTACCAATTAGTGCACATTTCCCCAGCTACAAGGTCTAGTGTGCACATATGTCCTGTCTTTCCCCAATTACAAATAACTGCTACAATACACTAGTCCTGTTACACAGGATTGTTGCAATTTAAAGCAGAAGACAGAAACAAACTTTGAAAACTCTCCAACTTTGGGAGGTTCAGAATTTTTTAATCTTGTAACTTTTTTATGTGCCATATGTATATGTGTACATAACATAATTTGATCAATGTTAGTCTCTAGTAGCTTCCCTTAAATTACCTTTTCTCACCAGATCTTTGTAGGAGAAAAGATTGCAACCATAATCAGCATTATGAATTTATATTGACATACTTTGAGTATGTATACAGTGATTAACTCTTCAAAGAGACATTAAATTTTACCTTCTGTAACCATCCATCAACATTTTAATCCTATCTTCAACATGCAATCAATCAACCAGTGTTCCAGCTTATTTGTATGCTGAATGGCCTATTCCATCTTTGAACTTTTGGAAATATTAGATAATCTTCTGTACATGATAACAGGAAACATTTCTTTCAAAAGTTTCTACTATTCATATTACACTTGTGCCAAAAGAACAGTGCACTCTCATTTGCAAGACCACCTTTTAAAATTTAGGTTCCTTGTGAATTATCTTAACTGTAGGTCAAGTATTCCCAACAATGACCCATATGCTATAAGAGCAATTATGTAATCTGAGCATTTTTTGGTGAATTAAGAGCATCAACACAAATTCATTAACTGACAAATCTACATCTGTGATGTCACTTCTCTGCAACTTCTCATTTGTCACTTAGAATAAAACCTATTTATTTATGGTCTTTAAGGCTTTAAACAGGTTCTTGTCCA